TATTCATAATTTATACATTTTTTAATAATATTTATATTTAAATTACTTTATTTAAATAATGAAAAATGCATGTTTTTTTAATGAAAAACTCATCATTTGCTCATATATATTTCCAACCCCATATTATTTTTTGTTATACATAACAAAAATGGACAACTCATCCTAGCTTCTCCATGTAAGGCCACTAAATTAGTTTTCTTTGGGGTTTTTATGTCTGGTTTTGTTTGGGTTTTATGGTGTTGGGTTTTTGTTTTTGGTGTTGTTTTACGTTGCTTTTCTTTTTGTTTTGCGTTGGTTTTTGATTGGTTTTGCTTTGCTTTACTTTTTTGTTTGGTTTTGCTTTACTTCTTTTGTTTGGTTTTGCTTTACTTTTTTTGTTTGGTTTTTCTTTGCTTTGCTTTTTGCTTTGCTTTACTTTTTTGTATGATTTTGCTTTTCTTGACTTTGTTTGGTTTTGCTTTTCTTTGCTTTTTGTTTTGCTTTACTTTTTTGTTTGGTTTTGTTTTACTTTTTTGTTTGGCTTTGGGCTTTGCTTTACTTTTTTGTTTGGTTTTGCTTTGCTTTACTTTTTTGGTTGGTTTTGCTTTGCTTTGCTTTTTGTTTTGCTTTACTTTTTTGTTTGGTTTTGTTTTGCTTTACTTTGTTTGGTTTTGCTTTTTGCTTTGCTTTACTTTTTTGTTTGGTTTTGCTTTGCTTTTTGTTTTGCTTTACTTTTTTGTCTGGTTTTGTTTTGTTTTACTTTTTTGCTTTGCTTTTTTGTTTGGTTTTGCTTTGCTTTTTGTTTTGCTTTTTACTTTTTTGTTTGGTTTTGTTTTGCTTTACTTTTTTGTTTTGCTTTACTTTTTAGTTTGGTTTTGCTTTGCTTTACTTTTATGTTTGGGTTTTGCTTTGCTTTGCTTTTTGCTTTGCTTTACTTTTTTGTTTGGTTTTGCTTTACTTTTTTGTTTGGTTTTGCTTTGCTTTTTGTTTTGTTTTACTTTTTTGCTTTGCTTTTTTGTTTGGTTTTGCTTCACTTTTTGTTTGGTTTTGTTTTGCTTTACTTTTTTTGTTTTGTTTTGCTTTACTTTTTAGTTTGGTTTTGCTTTGCTTTACTTTTTTGTTTGGGTTTTGCTTTGCTTTACTTTTTTGTTTGGTTTTGCTTTGCTTTTTGTTTTGCTTTACTTTTTTGTTTGGTTTTGCATTGTTTTGCTTTTTGTTTCACTTTGCTTTTTTTGTTTGGTTTTGTTTTGCTTTTTGTTTCACTTTATTTAATTTTTTTTTTGTTTTGCTTTTTGTTTCATTTTGCTTTTTTGTTTTGCTTTTATACCCCAGGAATTAGTCGTTTAGTGTTTCACCAAAGAAACAAATAAAACTGACAACATCAGAGTGAGTAAATGGTGCCATTTAAGTTTCTAGATTGAATATATACGGTGTATATTTATCATTTGTGTAAAACGTTTCTCCGTATTGCATTACACATAGTACAATTCGACAAACAAAGCCACGCTATACTTGTTTGTAGCGCTTCATATCAACTTCTCCCTTTTGCCTAGGGTTACCAAACGACAGGCTTCCCCATGACCGAGCTCCATCGGTTTCTGATGGGCCAGAAGGAGGGCTTCCCCCGCCAGGGGCAGGAGTGTGGCCAAGTCGAGAACATCCACCCTTCTGTTATGCTGTGTTGCTGCAAAAGGTACAGTATATAATCCCAGACATCAGCTGCAGGCAGCAGTGTTTCCTCCAGAGCTGAGGTCAGCCCACTATGGCATGAGAAATGGAATTAGTGGTGGGAGAGAAAGACGGACACACCCAGCAAAGTGCTGATTACAGAGAAATGTTCTCTGTGGGGAAAAAAACGAGAAGGCTTCCCCTTGCCTTGCAGGAACGATAAACAAACGAGAGTTTAGAAACTCTCCATGATGCCCATTACTTTAGAGCCTTTTGTCTTGGTAGTATCTAGCTGTTTTGGGGTTGCAATGCAAGAACTCGAAACTGACTCCACAAGGAGACTTCATTGTTTGCTTGAGTGTCCGATGCGAGGGATGCCCGGCTAATTTGATGCTGTGTCTAAATATCAGGTTAAAGCCACTTATGCTGCACTGAGTGATTTTAGCATGGACATTATTACAGTGCATTGGGATTGAATTGGGTTATACTTTGATTTCTTTAGATTAGATCAACTGGTGTTCCTGCTCTACAAGTGGACCAGAATTATATTTCCATATCTTTTCATCTCGGATATCCACCTTATTCCTTACTGTGTCTAATTATTCACTCCTCAATTATCCTCTATCATTTTCATAATTGCCCTGATCATCATGACTGAATAACTGTCAATTTTTCATGATTTATTTCAAACATCATGAGAATAACGTTATACTTGGTATTTTAACGTGACATGTTATAATAAGAATATCTATGACAAGAGCTGCTTTCTTTTCCTCGTGATGGTTTTTATTTTTTCCTTTGCAATCTGCTGTAAAAGTAAAAGGACACCATATACGGCACATTTGTGGTCTGTTCTCACGAATTTAATTTACGATATTTCATTAATAATTCACTGGAATGCAGAAGAATCTCTCGTTATTCTCCTCAAATCCTCACGTTTGTTTTCACAGGTAAATGCAATTTATACTCTGTCAAAATATCGAAAATCACTTTGATATAGTGTCACGTAATGCTTAAGTTAATGTACATTTTTGATTAAGGCTTGTTATACAATATAGATCTTTGCCTACTACAGTGATATTTAACCAAAGATTCGTTCATTTGGGGCTATTTTTGGTCTGTTAAAAGTAATTGTTGATTCTTTTAAACTTTAAAATTTGATTTTAATGCTCGATGGTTGAAGGGTGAGTCGATTAATGACACTTTTTTTTAACGTTTTGCGTTCATAGAGCAAGCCTTTCACTGATTGTTTACAGCTTAACTGAAGTTACACAGCGCCATGGGGCGTAGGAGTAAGGTGGCTAGGAAAACTTCTATTTGATATTCTCAGGATTCAGGCTATATTGACAGTTTATCATATTATATTATATCATATTGGCATGTTTAATCATGTTCATGTTTAATCATAATCATGTTTAAATAGGCTGTTTTCTGTTTTTTTTGTGCTCACCAAGGCATTTATATGATAAAAATTGGAGTAAAAAAAAGTTATATTTTTACAAATATTATTACAATTTCAAATTACTTTTTTCTATTTTAATATATTTTAAAATGTAATTTATGCCTGTGATTTAAAGCTGAGTTTTCAGCATCATTACTTCAGTCTTCAGTGATCCTTTAGAAATCATTCTAATTTGCTGTTTATGAAACATTTATTATTAATGTCAAAACAGTTGTGCTGCTTAATATGTTTGTGGAAACCATAATACATATTTTTCAGAATTCTTTTATTAATAGAAAGGTAATCAAAAGAACAACATTTATTTTTATTAAAAATTATTTTCTTTTGATCCATTTAATAAGTTCTTGCTGAATAAAAGTTTTAACCAACCAACTTTTTGAAGTCCAAAAGGGACTTTACCTAAAAAATGTACCTAATTTGACATGAAACTAACCTGCAAATCTCTCTTCAAGTTTCTTGGGGGAATTCTTAGGGAACTGCAACTGGACACATATATGTAGGCTAAATGTAGAAGACCAATCTTCGTTGAAAAAAAAAACATTAGAACTAAAAATGTACTTTATGTAGGTTCAAAGATGACAGAAACCATTTTTAAGACTGTTTTAGAACATCTACCTGCCAAAAAAACTGGATGAGAGAATATTACAAAAATAAAACGACACAAATATTACAAAATGTAACATTAAAAAGTGTAAAATTTTTATATAGATATTGGTTTACGCGATGAATCCCGCCTCTTGTTTTTCGATCGCATCCTCGAATCGGTCTCTTTTGACTTTTTAGGAAGCAATCAGCTTAGAAATGAAATATTCATGTCGGTGTTTACCGAGTACGACTTATGATCCGAAATATTTTACTATTAAAAAAAACAGTTCTATATAAACATTGTTTAAATTGTAACTGCCTAGTTATTATTTTGGAAACAAGTTCAAAATGCTTAACACTTGAAGAGATTGATACTTGGTTTAATAAAAAAACATTAATTAAATAATGTAAAATACAAATTGTAGTTTTTTATGTAATGTAAAGTTATACTTAACCAGGAAAATGACAATATGCTTAATTTTCTTTTGCAGTATTCCCAAAGACGACTCCATCATGCTTATCAGCTGATCGCAGCGAATGATTCAACGTCGAATCTACTGAAAACTGCAATGGATTTGCAGCTTAATCAGGGAAAGATTGTGTGAACATGTTTACCGCTCCATGTACATGGTTCATGTACTACACCGGAAGCATGATCTTAGTTCACATGACAATTTTATTAGAAACCGGTAAGACCTGCATTAGCAAACGGGCAAATGCCATATAATATCTGCCAAAGTGCTCTACAATGCAATTAAGAGCTAAAAAACAGAGGTCAAATGGCAAGCATGGAAGATGTTTGATGCATCTTAATGTGCAATCTGTAAAATTATCCCTGTTAAATGTTGTAAACCAGAGAAATATCTTTTATGATATTATTTATCGTCATCTGGATTGTCTACCCATGTTTTACATTAGCGAATGACCTCAAATTACACGCTTGTGTTTGTTTTTATATCGGCACGTTCTGGCATGATCCTCAAAGGCATTTTGAACATTTGCAACAGGTTTGACGATAAAGTCTTTTAATATTGTGCTTCAACTAGTAAAGTGCGGGAGGGAGTGATGGCGACGTCTACGGTTTGTTCAACACTGTGGAGTGCTAAGAATGCATTGTTCACTCATAGCTGAGAAACTCTTTTTGTCTTTGTGGACATTATTTTACTCTATTATGCGAATTACATCTCATTATGCCCATCATGCCACAATTAACTGGGAAGGCAGACAAGTTTCTATGTGACTTGCTTGGTAAGCAGTTGCTCACTGGGAGAAGGACCTGGGGTGAGGGAATCAAAGATAATAAAATAATATTTTGTATTTGCAAACTTAAAGAGGCCCTTTGTGTGTGGCAGTTTTCATTGTTGACTTAGTAAATTTGATATTACACCATGCTAGATTGCAACCTAGAAACATGTTGACATGTTTTTTTGCACATGGTGCTTTTTGACCTCAAAAAACCATTTCACAGAACCGCTTGGACTAGGATGATTGCTTCACTTCTTCTTTCTTTGAGAAATGAAACTAAATTCCAGACCAGACATGAAATCTGTAATTTACCTGGTCTGTCTGCCCGCATACGGATTTATTTATTTTACTTTCTTTTATTTGTTCATTTTAATTTAACTTTTTTTGCAGAACAATATTGTTTACAATCATTTACAATGGATGGGGATGACTAGTTGACTATAAATAATAAATGATATTTGTTGTTGTTTTTTGTTGATAAATGTTCATAATACGCATCTTTTCTTGATTTAGATGTTAAATGTTCAACAATTAAGTCTAAGATCTCGAGTAATAGGGTAAATGGTAACCCTTTATTCGGTGCTCGGGCCCTCTTGGAATTGCTCTGTTTATTATCATTCTTCTCCGAAATGAATCGCATTTTTGAGGCCTAAAACACCGACACGAAAACTTTGCACAAGCGTCAGAACTGGCGAAAATTTACATCTGATGTGCGTTTCAGAATTGGCGCGGGTGAATGACTCGATAGCGCCACCTATAAAGGTTCAACGGAGTCCGCCTCCCGCTATGTTTCGCGTACATGTGCGAAATTCGTACACATGTATAATGGCCCAATACCTATTAAAAAGTCTCTTGGAGTGTATCCCTAAACGCACAAGGAGTCAGCCATTTTGAACTTCCTCTCAGATTATTGTGCAGTTTTTGACATACTTTAACGAACTCCTCCTACAGTTTTAATTTTACATTTGTCTTTGTTTACAGGTCAATTATGCAAACTTAAATTAAACTAAGCCTAACGTAATCAGATTACTTTTTTCAAGTAACTAAAGTAACGTTACTTTTAAATTTACAACAAAATATCCGGGTTACATTTTCAAACCCAAGTCGCTTGGTTTCCCATGTATTGGCTGACATATCTCCTGTCCCCATGTTGAGAGAAATGTTGAGTAAGTGCAGAGGCGTTGTGTGTGTGAACATGATGGCTATTGTACTGTAAGTTTTTAAACTAAATGTGAGCAGGCATTTAATTTTCACTTGTACGAGAACAACAGATTCAGGATTCCACACTATGAATAAAAATTTACGAATATTACGCAGACATACAATAATACATATGTTTAAATTAAATACACAAAACATATATACTTACCCTAGGTTTCACAGACAAGTCCCAGACTAAAATGCATGTTTGAGCTGTTTTAACTGAAAGCTTAAAATATATCGGAGCCATTGTTCTGTCTCAATGTGCACACCAGTTTTTTTTTGTTTTGTTTTTTTTGTTTTTTGTTTTTTATTTTATTTTATTTATTTTTTTACTATGGCATGTTTATAAAAGTCCTAATTGAACTAAGATCTAATCCTGGCTTAATCTTAGCCCTGTCTGTGTAATCTCACTTTATTATCAATGTCTTTTTGCATGACTTATAAACATCACATTTGTGTTTCTTTAGTTTTTATTGCTGAAGTAAGAGTAAAACTTTCTTCTTCTGCAATCAGAATGGCAGCACCACTGAAAGGTTTGTTTGAGCTGCGCCATCTACTGTTACAGGTATATGTCCTTCAGCCTGAGTGTATTTGTTTTGTAAGGATCTTTACATTTGCCAAAAAAATAGAAACTTTTTTTTTAGTTTATTAAAACATAAAATGTTTTAGTTAAAAAGTATGGAAGCGTATTTGCATTCACTTGAGGGAAACAAAATCTACTCTGTTTTCCTGAAATAACAAGTTAATTATCTCAGAATTACGTGAGAATTTTGCATGGAAAAAAAGTTTTTTGCTCTATTTTTCTGAATTAATGAGTTAATTATCTCAGAATTACAAGATAGTTTTTCATGGAATTTTTTTTTTTGCTCTGTTTTTCTGAATTAATGAGTTAATTATCTCAAAACTCAGAAATTCAGAAAAACAGAGCAAAAACTTTTTTCCACGAAAAATGATATCGTAATTCTGAGACAATTAACTCATTAATTCAGAAAAACAGGGCAAATACTTTTCCCATGAAAAATTCTCTCATAATTCTGAGATAATTAACTCGTTATTTTCAGAAAAACATAGATTTTGTTTCCTCAAGTGAATTCAATATGCTTCCGTACTTTTTAACTAAAAATTGTATGTTTTTAATAACTAAAAACAAAAAATCTACACTGTTTACTGAAATAATGAGGTAATTCTGATAATATTGTGTTTCCTCAAGTGAATGCAATATGCTTCCGTAAAAAGTAATTAAACTTTTAAAGTGTCCCCAACATTGATTATTAGTTCTTAAATGTATAATTACACTTTAACAAGGGAAGTGCACCCTTAAAATAATGCCCTCAGATTTTCCCCTACTTTTTTTTAAA